AAGTGATTATCTTAGTTATTTTCAGATAAACATTAGCTTAACTTAACCTACTTAAGTCAAAACACAGTCTTCATATATCTTGTATTTACCTCTGTTTGCAGGCACAGCTGAAGTAAATGGTAACAACCAACCCATGACTGAGGACAATGGTACATTTACTTTTTTCTTTTCCTTTTATTTATAGAACTTCAGATCACAGCAAAAGTACTTTAGTTCTCAACTAAATAGTTCATTTTCATGATTATTATTAGTTATAGATGAGCATTTTTCTCAAATTTAAAAGAGCAAAATCTTTTTACCTTTTCTTTTGGATTTTAAAGATGCTATCCTTTAAGATTTAAACCTCTAAACCAAAAAAAAATATTTTTGAACTTCTTATGTTAAACATCATTGTTATTTTCTCTGTTAAAATCTTTCAGAAACAATCTAGCTTCACCTGGATTCCTTATGGAGATAGAATTCAATTCAAACCAGATTCCTTTTATTCACTAGTTTATATTAATTTATAGATATAAAGATACTTTATCAAAGCAACAGAGAGGCTTCACACCTTTTTATCAAAGGCAAATTGTGCTTCAACACTAGCATTGATGTAAAAAAGAAAAGTAGATCTTGTGCATTTTGAAGAATATTAAAACTGCAAACAATTCATAATTTAATTCATTTAATTTATAAGGGAATTCAGCTTTTTTTTTTAGTATTTATAACTACTTGCTGTATTTTTTTTTATTTTTAACACTTAATGCTGTGTTTCTACCCTGTTTTCTAAAGCACAGATGATTTTCATTTAAATGTTTATTCATAAAAATTAATCTTGATGTTTTATCTTTTTTTTCAGACTCAGGACGTGGCTGTAAGTATTACTATCACAGCACATTAGGTGACAGTTTTTCTGATTGAGGATGTTATGATGTTGCCAACGTGTCGGCTTTCGGTAGATTTTGTTTTATTCAGGTTAATAGAATGACGGTAAACAAAAGGTTAATCTCAGAAACAACAGAAAGGCTGTTAGTCTTCCATGGTTCAGTTAAGAAAAATTAAATAGGATGTCTTAATTTAATGTTGTCAAAGGTGAATAAATTTCTTTTTTCATTTTGTCTCAACAGCTGGTGGATCCAATGAAGGAAGCCAGTTAAATGGTGTGATTACTGGAGAGTAATCATCTAAACCTTTGTCACGTCATGGAGCCTGCTTAACCAGTTTGCCTACTTTAAACCCAAGCCATGCCAACATAAAAGTATCGCTTTTTTCTGCGCTTCTAAAGCACTTTCTGAATAAGAAACTTAAGTTTTGCGGGTTTTTACAGTGAACATGGTTTTAGTCCTTAAGCTGTTTTAATCATATAGGTCAGTTATCACAGTGTTACTCTGTTTGAATGTTACTTTTTTAAGGTTTTCCTGTGCAGGTGTTTGATTTTATTTCACCTTAAGTTTAGCACAGCAGCATTTCAACAATTTTAGCATCTTAAAAGTGGCTGTTACATGTGAGCCTGTGAGACATTAGAGCTTCTAAAGTGTAACTTTTACACTGCAAAAGCTTTTAAATCATTTGACTTACAGACTAAATATGGTAAACATGGATCTGTTGCTCACTAAAACTACGTCTATGTTGAAAGTGATGTTACCAACATAAAGTGAAACTTATAAAGCTGATGTAAGCCAAATTAAATGACTGAAACTTCAACTGAGCATTTTAAGGGTCATAGATTGTCAAAAGTTGACAAACATATGTGGATTTGAAAAATTACCGAACCACACCAGCTGTTATGGAGGTGAAAAACAGGAGTGTTTTTTTAGTATACTGTCACTCAGATTAGTAGGAGAATCTATTGATCTTTTTCTTTCAAATATTTTGAAGCAATTTGTATGACTGAATTTCACTTTTAAATGCTATAAACTAGTGATTATACATAAAAGTAAATAGTAAATTAATTGTATTCTGTTGAGTGAAAATGCAAAAACAATTGTCTAAGAGGGTCACAGAATATATTAAACAATTCAATTTTAATATGTGTATTAGAAAATAAAGAATATGATTCAATTGCCATATGTTAAGTGTAGTTAGACGTAGGGAAACTCCAAGTCAGAGACGTTTTCTGACAGTAGAGTGCTGCCTTAAAAGTTACTTAAACAGAGTTGAGTAAAAAACATACGGTACTTGCTTGAGAAGGGAGAGATAAAAATCTGCACAAGTGTTTTCTGTTAAAAAACTTGTTCCTTTTTAGACGTAAAACCATGTGGAGAAGATAAACAATACGGATAATTTCGCAAACTGTTGATTCATTCACTTGGAGCAATAAAATGCTTTTTAAATTTTATTTTCATCTATTGGGGGAGAGCAATTAACAATGCAGATATTTATTTTCATTTAGCAAACAGAGCTTTGAAAAATCTTTTCAAAAACATTGGTGTAGTTTTCTAGTAAAATCCAGTTTCTAGATACGGAAACATTTCAATATGAGCTGAATAACGTTAAACTTCTGGTTAAAAACATAGACGTTATAAGCCTCAACATATTAAACCTGAAACATGAGCTGATTTCTGTTAAACCACACAAGGAAGTAACAGACTGTAAAAACAAGGCAGCATGGTGCGTTCACTGAACCTTTTTAAGCTCCAGCTTTTATTGATCTCTTTTCTTGGTTTTAAATATTAATCATAACAACATATAATTTCACTGGATTATGTTATGTTTCATGATAGCTGAACTATGAATATTGATAGTGGACAACATTTCGACATTTGATCCATTTCACTGAAATTCTTCATAATTTAATTATCCTACATATATAAATACTTACAGAACCTGATTTTAAGTTGGTTATGCATAAAATATATCTCAATTTGCAAAGAAATTAGATCTGCTAAACTGCTAATGTGTGTGTATATATATATATATAATATATATATATATATACACACACACATTTTAGACTAAGATAAAAAATTGGGAAATAAATGTTAAGCTCAACACATTTTTTGTGCCTTATTCAATTACTTATGGAACATTTGTACTGGTTTTGTAGACTTTAAATGAAGTGAATTTGCTTAATATATGTGTGCTGTCTTTTTGACTTATATGATAATGAATAAAATTCATGCAGAGCTTGATAAGTAATTCTAATGAAATGATTTCATAATCTTGAAAAGATTTCTTAAATAATAAGGAACCCAATTGTCATGCAAAAAGACGACGGCTGTGTCTGAATGTCTGCCCTAACCACTATATAGGGCACTATATAGTGGTTAGGCCATTTTAAATGAGTGTCTAAACGTCTAGTGGATGAAAAACTAGTAAACTCGAAATTAAATATAGTGATCATCCATGGTCACCAAATGAGCAGATATATCCCAGAATGCTTTGCGTGGAGAGCTCTCCTCGCGGAGCATTATGGGATTTGCTTTCATAGCAGGCCGCTGTTGCTACCCGACAGCCTAAGTAGTGATCATCTATCTGAACTGTCAATTAACTGAGTTCGGTATATAGTGATTGAGAGATGCAGGGGTTGGGGCGGACGTTCGACCAACATATATGTTTTTTAATCATTGATTTGGATTATTAATTGATGAAATAAGGCGGTAAAAGTATTTTTTCTTATCTAAAGATTTTTGCTTTTTTTTTTTTGTTCCACATTTTCTGCTGTCCGAGATTATTTCTGATGCTGTAGCAATAATTTAATTTGACATATTTGATAAATTGAGCGCTTTTTATGACTGCAACAATTGACTTTTTCATGTAACCAAAACCAGCTGATCATGTGTCAAAGTTGCATAAATCAAATAAAATGTTTTTTGTTTTTTTTTATTGTGGTATGTGTATTAAACTAGCAGGTACTTGAAAATATGTTTACTGAAACTTTAATTTGTTGAGGCTGATGTGGAAGTGGTTCAAAAGTAAGAATTTTATAAGCAAAGCAAAAGTTGTCTAACTGACGACAGTCCCTGAAAGCACCATGGCAATGATTAAAAACAACACCTGTAATCCTACCTACCAGTCTAGCAGGTCTGAATCTAGAGCAGCACAGAGAGGAGCGCCTTCCAACAACCGGGCATAAGAGGTTCTACTCGAACACCAGAACCTGATTTGGGTTCAGAATGTCTCTTCTCACCATTTTGGTCCTTTTGGGGACCGGGCTGACAGTTAACAGTGGTAAGTTGAGGTTTTATTTTGACATTAACTTTCATCTTTTTAAAAGTGAAAGCAAAAGTGTTAGTGCGGTTTGTCGTGAATCCTCGGTTGTTGTTTTTTTTTTCCTGTTAAAGTTTGAAAATATATTTGTGTAAGGTTTAGTGATATAGATTTAGTTTATAAAATGGAAACAATCCTGCTGTGGACAAAATTCAGTCATCTGAAATACCCAAGAAAATTCAACTGAGTGCCACCATTGTTCCTGTTCATTACTTCAGTGTCAATACTTCTTATAGTAAATGATCAATATGATTCTCTACCTCATAATCTAATAAATTCAGATGTAATATCTTTATAATTGTTTAGTATATAAAAGAGGCACTAGAAAAACACCTACATTTGGGTCATAGACAAACACCTCCATTTTTTCATAGTATGGGTATAGTCTACCAATACTATGACCATTTTACTTGTTAATCTTCTAGGAGACAGAAATATATATTTAAATTTCACAGATTTTCCTCCACCGTGACATAAAGAGCTGTTCCAGGAAGCCATAAATGCATTTTGATAGTTACAAGGAAACATAATAAAGGTGTGGCAGACAGGTTAAAACCTGCCAGACAACATTGGAGAGATAACTTTTACATGATGAAGACATCAGGATTGAAAAATGGACTGAAGATAAACAGATAAACACAGTTGGAAAGTTTAAAAGTTGATTAAAAAAACAACAACCTTCAAACAGTATCATAAAAACTGTTGGTTTTTACTGATATGGAAGAACAAAAACTAATTTAAAATCATTGGTAGTTGATCAAAGGGCTGAAAAAGCCAACAGATGCATTTACTGGTCTGTGAAAACATATCAGTTACAGCGTTCAGGAAGCAAAGAAAACCATCTACATTAGGGAGTAACAATCCTAAGGGGTCAAAGGTAAACTTTATTACCCAAGAGGGACAATTTGATCTGCACAAACGAGCCTCATAAAAACACCCAACAGTAACATGAAGAGAAAAGAGAACCAGTCATTACTGTATGGTAGTCTTTAATTAATGCCTTTATCTTCTATTTTAGATCCCACCTAAAGGGTATTTTACTGTTTGTTGAACCAACCAAATGTTGAGAGCCAGATAATCTCTTATCATTTTTTTTTTTCTTTAATGCTCTCCATGGAAAATATTCATATTTTGAGTGATTTGGAACATTATAACTAAACAATGTTCCAGGTTGTATGGGATAAACAGCACAGTTGATTGACTGAAGCCAAGTTTTTCATTTAAATAAGTGTTTAAACTATGCCTAAAAGGCAAACAGGATCCCATCTAATATTATTTATTGAATCTTCAAGTTTCGTTCTTGGTTTTTATTTAGTTTTGTAAACAGAAGAGGATGACAGTGCCTTGATTCCGTTTCCAGTCCGTTTCAAAGACAAAATCAGAAGTTAGGTTTTTACATTTAGCCTTCGATTTACTAGGATCAACGCATCAGAACTTAGAGGAGTACTTGAGTTTATTCAAAGCCATAATAGTGGACAAGTTTTTAGCCTTTGTGAGATCTCTTTTACAGTATGGATTATAATCTTTTCTCATATTTGGAGATGATATTTCCTGAGCCAATGATGGCTTTATTGTTTCTCTCCCTGTAAGGTTTAGAAGATTCTTGTTAAACTAGTTTTTATTTTTAAAACAGAAGTTTTCCTCAAACGAACCAGGTTAGATCACTTTAATTATTACAAGTAAACCGAATAAAGGTGTGGCCATCAACTTAAAACATGTCAGACAGCACCCCCCATCACAGTGGATGCAAACATTAATTACGTTTTTTGTTCTGAAATAAATCCATATCCAGTTTATTTTGGAATATGACAAATAATAACTGCTAATTAAATCCAGTATTACTCTTTGCCTACTAATAATTATTTATTGAAGTTACATAAGAACTTTTTTCTACCGTAAAATAAGTCCATTATATAGGTTCCTTATGAAACAAGCATTAAACTGATAGATGGTCAGTAGAAAACAGTCAGTGTCAAATAATCACATAACAGGCTTAAATCTGAGACAAGTGGAGTGTTGTTTTGTTTTTCTGAAAAGGTTTTGACACCTATACAGGGGTCTGTGGGTTCTGGTGGATTGTTGATATGAATATTTGTTAGATTTCTGCTGTTTCAAAGCACATCCTGTGTCAGACGCATCTTGGAGTCTTTCTAAGAGCAGTGGCAGAGCCATGAAATGCTCATTAGGATGGCACTGGTCAGGCATGAAAAACTGGGCACTGAGGTGTGGCTGAAAACTGATAGAGGCCAAAACTATTTTAATGTCAGTCTACTCTAATAGCACAGTACCAACAGGAAAATGAACAAGCAGAGTATATATAATTTACTAAATAATGAGTGATGAGAGGTCAGGTTTTGTTGAAGCCGATACAAATCTATGTTGTCTAAGTCGATTATGGTTTTGCATTATATATGTACTGACTGGGTTGTTGTTTATCTTTAATGACATAGAAGACTCCTTGATGAGCGAGACTCATAATTTTCCCTTCTTCCCCATAAAGCCCAAAAACCTTGTTCTGAAAAGAGCAAGAGGTCCTGTTTCATCTTATTTAATGCTATTATGGTGTTGAGAATAATTTACTAACAACTGGAAAATCCCTTTGTTAGGACATTCTGAGAGTATCACTGCTGCCCCCTTCTGGTTTAGAGCAAACCTTCTGGTTTGCTTGTTCCCCTCTAAAACAAAGGAGGTACAATATGTTTCAATGGAAATAATATATCAGCTGGTAGGGGTGGCCAATGATAGGCAAAGGGTAGACATTAACACCCCTGGCCCCCTTCTTGGCACCGATAACTCAGCAACATTACGGATAAGTAATTGATTTGCATCAGATTTGGGTTGGAATTTAGGAAACACTCATTTAAAGTGTCTCAAGATCAGGACTGAGCACCAGCAGCTTTGAATTGCTCCATTCTATGGAGCGTTTGGTATATTATTTTTAGACATTTTTTTTGTTGTTGTTGTTATGTAAGTTTTTTGGATGACATTTTTATTTCTACAAGAATAGTGTGACATTTTGTCTTTTTGACCCAATGTTGATGAGGAAAATGCATATGGCAATTAAAAGGGACAGGTAAAAAGAATGAGGAGTCACAGGGATTAATTCAAAAACAAGGTTTTTATTTTTAACCAAAAAAAAAAAAACTTACAAAAAGTATTTTGATTGATTGACAAAAGGTCAATCAAAAAGACAAACTAACTGACTACATAACCAAACATAACTAATCTTACAAAGAAATGACACAAAAGGGTATATATACACACTGGATGATCAGACCAATAACATATTAGGGGTAATTAAAACTAATCAAACAATAACAAATTACTAAACACAGCAGTACAGTTAGGTTTGGCAATAAACTAATATACAAGAAATGAAACCACACCAGCTGCAAAACAACTTCAAATTAAAATGCAAAAAAAAAGAGAAAAATAAGGAAAATTCAAATCCCCCCATTTTAGCAGCAGCTGGTGGAACAGTCCAATTTCCCCTTTTCCCCCCAGATCTGAATCTAAGCCCTGGCTGCCATCTCTAGTCTGGCCAAACTCCTAAGCACCATGGAAGGTAGGAAACAAACATTAGTGACAAAAACTCACAAAGAAAATCTGAATAAGTGGATCAAACACAGTGAACTAAATGTGCGCTTTCAAATAGAAAACATGTATTTGAACTAAGAATAAAGTTTAAAAGTATGTGTACGATTTAGTAAATAAAGGTGAAGGCCCATGTATAGTACCAACTTTTAAGGTGTGGCCATGGGTTTGGCCATCACAATATGAATTCCTCTCAATTCTCTCTTTTAATTTTGTTTCCAAGATAAGCTAATATGAATCAAGCTGTGTTTGGCTAAGCAATAATCAGGATTTAACTGCTGTAATTCATTTGCTGTAACTGAGTTAATTTATTTTGAATTTGAACCCTAAATGTTACCATATCTCATCATTAGCAAATAATTCACTTCCTTATTTTTCTGTCTCAAATCTTCCAGAATTGCACTCCCTCACTTACATCTACACGGCCTTCTCCAAACCTGTCACTCTCCCGGGGCTACATGAGTTCACCGCTATGGGTTTGCTGGATCACAGGATGATTGATTACTATGACAGCGAACACCAAAAGAAGGTTCACAAACAGCAATGGATGCAAGATCACCTTGAAAAAGAGTACTGGGAAAAAGGCACCCAGTCCAGAAAGAGCAAGGAGCAATGGTTCAAGGTCAACATCGACATTTTGATGAAACGAATGAGACAGAATGACACCGGTAAGATCTGAGGATATGAAAGTATTTATAATCAATGATAAAAATTATAAAACTTATTGTAAATAAATGACTTATCCAAACACTATTACTCTTACTAGAAAAGATGTTTTAGTTTATTTCCTTACTCTAATTTTGAATGAAAATCACTTTTTCCATATTAATTAGTTGTTCCTGTTTTGTTTTCCAACAGATACCCATATTCTTCAGTGGATGCACGGCTGTGTGGGTGAAACTAAGCCAGACGGCTCTCTGAAGTTTGTCAAGGGGATGGACATGTACAATTATGATGGAAAGGACTTTCTGTCCTTCGATGATGACAAACAGGTTTGGGTTGCTCCAATTACAGCAGCATTGGAAACCAAGAGGAAGTGGGATGATGTCCAGGTCCTGAAGGAATACACCAAGGGCTACTTGGAGAAGGAGTGTATGGAGTGGATGAGCAAGTTCAGAGACTATGGGAAAGAACAGCTTGAAAACGCCAGTACGTATATTATAAAGCATGCATTTATATTTGAATGATTGTTCTTTGGTAAAATGGTAAATGGCATGTACTTATATAGCGCCTTTATTCAAGTCAGGAGACTAGACCAAAGCGCTTTACACTACATTCATTCACCCATTCACGCACACACACTGATGGTGGCAAGCTACATCTGCCCTGGGACTCACTGACAGAAGTGGGGCTGCCGTACACTGGCGCCACCGGGCCCTCTGACCACCATCAGTAGACAATGCAGGTGAAGTGTCTTGCCCAAGGACACAACGACACTGAAAGTCAGAGCCGGGGCTTGAACCGTCAATCCTTCGATTTCAGGGCAAACCCCTACATCCGACACCACTGTCGCCCCTTTTCAATAGACCTGTAAAAATGTCAAAGATAGAGGGATCTTTGGTATTAAATGAAAACATACTGTATGTCTAGACATCATAGTTTACATTTAAAGTAGGCAGGTGTGAAAGATAAGGTAAGGATTTATCAAAGAAATATAATTGTTTCCTTAATAGATGACTAACTTTAAAATATAGGAAAACATATTAAATGGAGAAAAATTAAATCGTATGATGGTTGAATTGTCTCCCCGCTGATCCATATCTTATTGTCTGTTTTAAGAACCACCCAAAGTGCACATGTACACACGAAAGGCCAAAACTGAATCAAACGTCATCTTGACCTGTCTGGCCACCGGCTTCTACCCTAAAGACATCATTATGAATATCAGAAGAAATGGACGTGTACTGCACAAGGATGACGGGCTGACGGAATCCGGGGTTCTTCCAAATGATGACGACACCTTTCAGAAAAAACTCCATGTAGAGATTCTGAAGTCTGATGTTTCCACCTACACCTGTGAGGTCAACCATCCTGGCTCTAAATTGCATGTTGAAAACAAATGGGGTAAGAGACCTTTTAGATGCACTTCTAGACCTGATTTTGTATTTAAATGGTAAATGGCCTGTTCTTATATAGCACTTTTTGAAGTCAGGAGACTTGACCAAAGCGCTTTACACTACATTCAGTCATTCACCCATTCAAGCGAGGCTGGTGTACACCGGCGCCACCGTCAGTACCCTAGTCTGACCACCGTCAGTAGACAATGCAGGTTCAGTGTCTTGCCCAATGACACAAGGACACTGAAAGTCGGAGCCGGGGCTTGAACCTTCAATCCTTTTCCATTTCAGGGCAAACCCCTACATCCGACATCACTGTTAAAATCAATGCTGTTGTTGGTTTGACCAAGATCAGTTCTCCAAATTCAACATCCAGCATACTAAATGTCTTCCCAATGTTCTGATAACCTCTAGTTAACAAAAAAATGTCCTTATACATATCACAAAAAAACAAACATTAGTAGATTAACACTAAAGATAAGGCTTGTTTTACATACTTGCCATGAATTTTATTCAACACATTGCTGAGGGTCTGAAATATTTAGCTTCACCTAAACAGAGGTTTCTGTTTACGCTAATAATGTTGATTAAAAACAAAACTAGAAAGAATCACTGACATTTTAAGGTTTCAAAACATTTCTAACAGTTTGAAACTCCAGGTAACTACTGTAGGAGCCACTATCCACAGATAAAAAAGTAATTGAACACTAACAAACCTTTCAACGAGTGTCTGGCTTGTCAAAGTTACTTTAAGAGCTTGTTAAAAACTAATCTTAGGGGGTCACAAAAGAACTAAAGACTAATATTCCCTAAAATCAGTATACATGGTTGAACAATTGGAAAAAGATGAGGTGAAGCAGGATTTTTTTTAGATGATAACTAAAATGCCTTTTCATCATTGCAACATATTCATAATATTCAGTAAATATTTAAATAAAATTTCAAACTACTTTCTTGATCCCAAAGAGAAATTAAATAATCTGACTAAAAAGGTCATTTATTCTCAATTCACCAAGTGAAATATTTCCTTTAAATGAATGACTTACAGGCTGTACATTAAGCGTGGTTTCATTTTTGTCACTTTGTGACTTTTCATTACATTAATATTAAATTAAAAAGTTGAACTTTTGAGCATTAAGAAAAAAGTTTAACCAATAAAAACTATGTTTTTTTCTGAAATACTTGAATTAAAGTAAACAATGCATCTATAAAAAGGACAAATACTTTTCTTTTAAACACATTCTAAGCTTTTAAACTGTTTTGAAATAGATATAAATTTGAATGGGTTACATGAAAAATAAAACTGATCTGCTGGAAGTAAACTAGAACTCATAAGATTTATTTATTTTTTTTTTGTTAGATCACACTCTCATTGCTGATGGCGGAAATTCACTCCTTATCATTATTGGTGTTGCCATTCCACTGATTTTGGCTGTGACCATTGGTGTGGTACTTCTTGTCCTTAAACTGAAGACAAAGCGACTGGGTAAGAAGGCTTTTCCTGTACTTATAATAATATAATTGATATTAATTTTGTTCCCTTACTAGATGTCTCTAATATTAATATTTGTATTATAAAAAGTTCTGCAGCTAGGTTAAAGAGCATTCAAAGCCACATTTACAGTAAATGATATAAATTAGGGTGGCTAGATGGCCTGTAAGATCGTTATTGTGAAAAAGTTATCTATCATTTTCTAATGAAACACAGATATTACTTCCCATACAAATAAGAAAAGGAAAAGAATTTTCCCAAAATAAAATATTTAGAACCTCTAACAATGTATCAGCTGTTCTAGTCTACAGTATTTAAACATCAAAGCTGGTTGATAAAATGGAATGTCTGATACAAAACTTTTGTATATGCATGTATCTGTTGAGCACCTCCTCCATTTACATATTTAAACTCAGGTTTAGGTATTTTTAAAATAATTTTCATGTAGAGTACTTATTTTTCCTTCGCTCTGACCTCACAATTATGCCCTGGTTTCTGCCAATCACTGGAGTGTTTGCATAAAATTCAATCTCAACATTAGCATGCCTTTGATCTATATTAGCCTTCAAATGAAACCTTTATTTTAATTGTTTTAAGAGGACGACAACAGCAGTTTTCTTTTTGTTTGTTTGGAAAAATCTTCCTGTTTTTCCAAAAATAAATGTTTCAAAGTTTATGCATTAAAATCTTGTTTTAAACTATTATCTTGTTAGGGCCTTTGGTATTGTGATTTTTAGTATGGGTCATACAATATTAGGATAAAAGAATATAGAAGCCTGTCATACAAAGCTATCTTTTTATCTTAAATGAATAAGTGTGTTAGAAAATGGATGGAGTACAGTAAAAATGACTATTCTTTCATTTTAATTTTTTGGGGTCAAAGCTTTTAACATAAAATATTTCCTTTCTTTTATTTTTTTGTACCACACCCCCTCTGCTTTACTTCTGCTAATAAAATGAAATTGGTTTGTTTTTTAATGTTTTAATTTACTATTGTTTTATATTAATAGATTGCGACGAGAATACATCCTCCAATCCAAGTAAGTACTTTATTTCTTTGCTGTGCATTTGTCAACTTTCTTAGTACTCTGTAATAAGTACAACTGTCACACATACTGAGATCCATTTTTCAGATTAGTCAGCTGTGTTTAAGTACTAATGTAAACCAATATTTGTCTTTGTTTGTAGGTCTTGTTTCTGTCAGCACTGGTTCAGGTAAGTTGCAGGCATACTTTTCTAAACTTTGAAAAATGTTCTTTCTGCAATGTGGTAACAATCCTATAGTTTAAATCTTGAACTTTCCTAGTGTCGGATGTATATAAATGTTTCAAATAGCAGAGGGTTCAATGAATAGCAGTGACATTTTAACACCGAACAAAATGACTCCTTCATTAACCATGCTCTTATTTTCTTTAATGCTAAAACTAATCTCTGTAAAATCTTAAGGATTATTATAATTGATATCTTATATATATAAAATAATCCCTTACATATATTAAGGGATTATATTAAGTTATTCTAGAATGGATTTGCTTTATCTCAAAGTCAATATTTTGAAAGCAATTAAACAAGAAAATGTGGGATATTAAAAGGCAGTAAGTTGCTTTAACCTTCCTTTACAAATTGATGAGGTGAAGATGTCAATTATTATAATTAAAAGAAAAAAAAAAAAAAACAGCACCTTGTTAGAAGGTGATACAGAAAGACGATTACCACAATTTGTGGCACACAAATGAAGATTCATGTTTTATTGCAAGTGTATTCTGTTTCTATATCCATAGTTTTTGGATATTCTTAGCCTGCTGGCTCCGCAAAATGTGATAATAGTTTCATAATAAAATAAAATTTATTGATTGATGAATTACATAAAACAGGTGAAAGTATGGATGTTCTAATTTTCTTTACAGATAATTCATCCAAAGATACTAAAAAAGAGGAAAAAGACAGTCTGCTGGGTAAGTGTTACATTCTATATAATTAAATAAAGTGTATTTATGCATTGAAAGTCATGATAGAATGTTGTAGAGTTGGTTTCATAAAATAACTTTTAACTCAGGAATATTTCAAGACGATGGTGTTAAAAACTTGAGAAATGTGAAATTAGAAATAAAAAAAGGAGTTAAAATTAGTAAGCTAGAATGCTGTTTTAAATGGAACACTAATTCTGTAAGTCACATATCGAATGAATGGATGAATGAATCAACAGTTATTTCAGAGAAACCAGTAAAAAAACAATGCAAATATGCAAAATTATAATTAATACCATATATATTTGTTACATGTACTGTACTTGTGATAAAATGACCTGTGTTGCAATGCTGATTACAAAGCTTAAAATAAGCTTCTCTTTCATCCTCTAAAAATATATAACAAACTTGGTGAAACAACAATTTTACAGATAGATCAGCCCTTATATTCTTATTAATATTTTATGTAAGCTGTTTATCTGCAAGTAGTAATGACGATAAACCCAATAAAACCAAATAAGGGAAAAAGTTATGATTCTGTTATGTTCTGTTCAAAAACAGCTAAAAGCAGTGAGTCCTGTATTTACTGTTTTTGCTTGAATCTTGTGTGTAGATAAACCCCCCACAGCCTCTGATGAAAATAAACCTGAGCAAGAGAAAGGGCTCCTTGGTGAGTTTTCTTTTTAAATTATTTTCATATTTTTACCTTTTGAATTAATAGTATAATAGAACTGATTATTCTGTCAATTTTACCACTTATAAAATTGCTTTTTTATGTCCCTTTTGTAGCACAGTCCCTCTGTGAATAAAAACAACTAAAAAAAACAAAAAAAAACACCAAACCTTAATGGGCTGGTATTCATTCAAATAAATGACAAACTATTTTTTGTCTTAACAGACACTAAAAGTACATCCTCTGATTCAAGTAAGTACTTTTTATAAATCATATCTTTATTGTGTTAAAATACAAATGCCAGATATAGCTATGGTTATTCTTTTATTGAGATGTATATAAGCATGAAGATATATCAATCTATGCCTTCATTTGTAGGTGGGGATTCTGGGACCAACTGTCCGTCAGGTTAGTTGCAGCCATGAATTTCTACTCAGTTAAAAGTAGAAATGTCAGGCAATAAAAAAATATCAACAAAATTGAATCCTCCAAATTTTAATTCTCATTATGAGACCAGTAAAAATGACTATTCTTTATTTTTAATAAAATTTCTGGGTCAAACCTTTTAAAATAAAATATTTCCTTTTTTTTTTTTAGTTTTTCTACCACAACCCCTCTGCTTTACTTTCGCTAATCAAATAAAATTGGTTTGTTTTTTAATGTTTTTAGTTACTGTTTTCCATAAATAAGATGAAACCTTTTATGTTTTATTTCTGCAGTGTCTTCCAGTGATGAAGAGAAGAAAAATGACTCTGAATAATTGCTTTTCCCAACCATTTGGAAGAAGATTTACCAGAATATCTGAAAAATAATCACATGAAATGGAAAAATAAATAAATAAAACATAACAACAACAACAATAAAAACAAACAACACTCTGTACTCACCTACATACCAAAATATTGTTCCAAAATATGAAGGTGGGCTAATTCGGTTTCTCTTTCATGTGTAATGCAGGTTGTTCCCAGTGTCCCACAGTCTTTATGTGAAGATAACGAAAAACAACATAACTTCATAGCTATCCTAAAACTTAGATAAACTTTTTTATTTAGAGATAATACATCAGAAATAAGCTTTGTTCCTCAATGTGACCTATAAAATCTGAAATTCAAAGGAGTCTGATGAATGATGAGCTTCCAGCTTCATTTATAAAGCCCATAAATCTATGTTGGGATAACAGGTAATGAATACTGAGAAAATATTTTGCAGACTTTTTGTGAAGCTACCATTACGTGATTATTAATCAAATTTGGACAATAATTTTATTCAGGCTTTTTTCAGTTTAGTTGAGCAGTTTCATAACAGTGGTAATTGTTGTTAGAAAAGTTTATAACATAAAATGTATAAACTTGTTTTCTTACAAAAAAATATGCTAAAACTCCACATCCACAAATTCCAAATTAGTCAAAGAAAGTGTTTTCAAAGATACTGCAATGTGACTTGGTAAATTAAACTTTACATTTGAAAATAAAGTTTGGATTAGAGTAGTAAAATATATTTTCTTTAGAAGATTCCCACTATATATGCTTTTAGAAGTCATCTTTAATGGCTGGTTTTGGTGAACTCATTAAATGTTTTTTAAGTTCTACAATGTTTAAAATATATGGTCAAATATTTTTAATTTCCCCATTCTGGGACAGTAAAGGGATTTTCTATTCTATTCTAAAATAAGTAATCTTTTTAAAGCATTTTTTAATAGGATGATTGTTCTTCTTACATTTTCTATTCTCTATTATTAATAATGAAATACAAAGTTGTCCATAAAATGTATTTGATCCAGCTTTTTATTTTTGGCTTATATCCGTGGACTCTGGGGCTTTCTTCCAATTAAAGTTAGATGATAAACTGCTTAATAAATATATATGTTTTTAAGTATTCTGTACTTCTCATACATTACCTTAAATATGTTACATGTTTATTATTCTTTTTTTCTTTATTTTAAAGTGTGACAGTAAGAAAAAAAATCTATTTGCACAATTTCTAAAAGGATGTAGTAATTGTAATGACTTTAAAAGTTATGAGCTAAGGTGGTATCAGGAATCCCACAATCCTTTCCTTGACATGATCTATAGTCACAAACACTACACTAAAATGAATGAAATATTTTGTCTCTTCTTTTATATTACAATAGAGTTACGTGAGAGCATATGTTATTGAGGCTTTCTCAAGAAATAAATCTTCATATAACTTTGTGTTTTGTTTTTTTTCTATATGGCCAAAGACCAGTATCCTTTAAGAGTCGTAGTTTTTTACATTGGGCCCTTGATTTTATGTTATTACATCATGTTCTACTCACCCATATGAGTTTTGTGTCATTTGGAGCTGCTCTGAAGATATACGGTTAGGTTATATCCAAGTAACGTCTTCCTATGGGTAACGAGTTGAAGGCACAAACTAAACGGTTCATCAATTATTCTTTATGGTACGTTGGCATTCATAACATGTAGGCGAATTACTGTCCCCCCAGACATCCGCGGTTATATTTTTTATTTTTATATATTTTTTAAAAAAGCGGAGTGTGTATGACGTCATCCGCGTGTGCCGGCTACCATTCATTCATCCTGTCCACTGAACTGCAGCTAGTTTTACTCACATGCCTGGAAGATGTCTAGTGCTACTACCACAGATGATCTCACTCTCGAAATGGAATTGAATGATTCGGATTAGCTAGCCGAATGAATAGAAGTGGTAGAGCTTAGTCTTTTGCCCGGGCTGCCTGTCACAACTCCAGTCCGGCGTGCGGATGATGTCATACAGCTCGCCACCATCAGTGTGTGAGTGTGTGCGTGTATGGGTGAATGACTGAATGTAGTGTAAAGCGCTTTGAAATCTCCTGACTTGAAAAAGTGTTTGAAAAGAACAGGCCATTTACCATTTAATTAGCTTACTATAACCCCTTTTTGAGAAAGGATAGTAGTTTAGTTAACACAAAGGAAAGGTTTTTCGAATAATAATTTAGAAGAAAAAAAAATTAAATACAATGTTACACCCTAAGTTACACCCTAGTTCTGTGTCCAGCCAATCTTTTGGTTAAAACAGCCCATCTTATATGGTAGTGTTTTTTTTGTTTGTTTTTTACCGATTTTTTACCGATTTCAAAAAAGACCAAACCAACAAACTTTTTCCTTTGACCAAAATATTGGTTAATTTGTGTGAGGTCCTATGGGAAGCCACCGTTGTAAATTGGTTGAGTTAGAATCACATTGGTTAATACTGAATACTTTGACTGAACCATTAAAGAAATCGTACACCCAAAACATGATTAGCCTTCATTTTCTACTCACCCCCATGCTGAACAACACTCTGGAGTACTTTTTTGATATCTCAAATGCATCTGGAGATCTGGGAGGCTTCTTGCTGTCTGCTGACATTCAAATAATGGAGATCTATGGTACCCGAGACAGAAAGGTCCATAAAAGTCCACAAAAAACATGTCAATATTCCTCCATACTGCTCGTCCAATGTATTCCAAGTGTCCTGAGTGGGTAGCATCCAGAATTTACTCGAAACAAAGTCATTTAGAATGTTTTTAGAGCATAAACAGTGGTGTATAGGATTTCCTGAAAGCGCGCGCCTGCGACTTCACGACGCTACGGAAACCGCGGCAGACCAAACCAGATGAAAGATATCAAAAAAGTACTCCAGAGTGTTGTTCAGCATGGGGGTGAGTAGAAAATGAAGGCTAATCATGTTTTGGGTGTACTATTCCTTTAACCCTGGTGTGAAGTTAGAATGAGTACTGAGAGGCAATATGCAAGGAAAAAAAAGTTTTATTTTACTCTGCAGAGGAGAACAACAAAAACAGTTGAACTGTAAAGGGCTGGTTATACTCCTGCAGCAGTGTGTCGCAATGAGCTTGACGCAGACATTGTTGATTTATGCCCAGTATTGAAGCCTGATCCACGCTATACGCTTGGGATCTAGATATGGCCGAGTAAGTGGGTGCGAGTTTGTCCGACAACGGAGGGACATGACGGGGAAAATGAGCGGGGATCCAGTTGGAAAAAGGGTCCAAGGGTTTTTGTACACCTCGCTCTTATAGCTGGTCCAACTTCACCAGTTGTGGTGAAAAACAAAACAAGCCGGCCTCCTGTCTGCGGTCACCTACAATATGGGAGATTTGCAGCAGAGTGTCTGCGGAGGGGCGGGGACGACTTTTTGTTCACTGCGACACCTACGCAAACGACTTAGTTTTGAAGTATAAATCAGCCTTTAGTGTGGCTCTGGTAGGGTAGTTGCCCACGCCTGTATATAAATAGAATTCTCACACACGAACATTGAGTCTTCCCAAGAGAAACACTTAAGTTAATCAAGGACATAAATTTTAGCCATGGCATGAAGGAGGCTGTGTGAACTCATTATCTCTCATGACTTTCCCTTCACCCTTGTCTAGAGTAGGGAGGCATCTGCTTTCTGTCCCCCTAAACAGTACAGCATAGTGAATGGTCAGGATGTCTCTATCATTACTCCTACTCAAACAGGCACACTCAAAAGCATTTTGTCTCACAAAATAGGCCAAGGAAAAATGTGATTCCACACTGGTTAACGATAAATCAACCATAGTTATACAACGCATGGCAAGCTACATCTTTGCCACAGCTGCCCTGGGGCTAACTGATAAAAGTGAGGCTGCCGTACATAGGCGCCTGAACCGAAGACCCTTTGGTTGAAGAGCAAATCATGCATCCAATGCTACTATTGTTCCTAATACTGGTTAGACTTTAACACTATTATTTTGAATCAAATAATTTCCGTGCAGTACATCTACATATTATTGTAAGTAGGCTTGGAGTTGGAACGATATTCCGCCCTGGCATTTTTGCATCTACACCGGCACCCCCCCCCCCACCCCCGTCGTCGAAAAAAAATTGAAGCGCTGTAAAAAGTGTGCGTCTGAAATGTGAAACTCAATACGAAAACACATTGTGAATTAACCAATCCATCATCTTCATCAGTTGACAACCATCACCAAGACTTCTATAATGCGGTTTGCCCGGCTTTGATTATTAACACGGATGCAACAGTTGGTGCTGCTGCGTAATGTCAACACTTTAGCAGGGTTGTCAGATGTCACTGACTCACGTTTTCCAGCCCAAAAAAATGTCATAACCCTCCTGCATATACGAACCCTCGCCCAATTTGAATTAAAGTCTAATGATCAGTTAGGCCATAAATCTAAAGAAAAACATTTTTTACCTATAGACAGCCAGCCTAAACTGCCACATTGGGACACATCCCAACCTGGCAGCAATGCACGTAAAATGGGAAACGTTAGCCTTTAGATACAAAATCCCAACATGCAACACAACATATTTTTGCAAAATATTCTAACATAAAACCCCCAAATATAAGAGGAACATCATAGTTTGGTTTAAAGAAAGCATTTTAGTTTAATTATAATTTAGTTTGTTGCAAGGATTTTAAAGTTTGAAGAAATAGAAAATTACACCATATGCCAACGTCACAAGGATGTGCATGACAAGGAAGGGCTATATATATACCGTAAATTCTCTAATATTGGCCTGTATTCCAATAGCGGCCGGGTCTCTAATAATGGCCGGTC